AAAACACGCTACTACATTTTTACTATAATAAAACCATTGTTAATTTTCTTAAAGGGTCTTGTATTTTTGTATTCCTTCTTTCTTTCTTTCTTTGAAGCGGCCAGAAGAAGCAGCGAAATGTAGCAAAAATGCCTGTTCAGGGCTTCAGGTGCAGGTCAGTTTCATCTGTAAATATGCTAAAGAGTTTTGTCTTTATTAACCTAGTTGAGTATTAAACTGCTAGTAGCCTATCTGTTAGGCTATCAGCGGCACACTATTTTAAACATCATTCAGAATACTGTTCTAAAGGACATCATTATCTATTGGAAAGTTACATTAATAAATTTAGCAGACAGATATTCTCATGGATTTATTGTATAGGAAGGGAGGGAGCTTGAGCAGACAGAAACACAAAAATATCACAGCCTAATAATGCAATAGTGTGTTTCAGTATTAGGATTTTTCAAAAAAGATATTGTACTGATTTTGACTTTTAGGCACTTTAGAAAATTGTTTTGATATATTTGTATGAAATATAGGGTTGTTAAATCTCGGGTATTTACGTAATTTTAAAATAAATAACATTCTGTGATGATAAATTGCAATGAGGTGGTCGTTTTGCAACAAGGTGGACACAGTTCTGTTCATAACAGTAGACCTGCTGGTCAAGAAGTGACAGGTACAATAAAAAAGGGAGAGACAGAGATATTATAGACAGAGATAAATGAAGAAAAGTAAAAAGGGAAGTGAAGGTGCAGTTCAAGAGACAACCCTTAATTCTTTTTTAACAAAGATGTTCTTTTAAGGGTACTGCTGCAGTGACAAGCTGTTGTACCTCAAAAGGTACCATTTTGGCCTCTTTTTTTCTGTGTGGCCTTGATGAGTGTGAGATTTCCTGGCCTGAAATTGCGTCCCAGTCCGGCCCTGGTACTGCCTTAATGGTCTGATGTTTCATACTGTTTAATTTTTAAAAAAAGAAATCAGAATCAAAAGATTTGCGAACCCGCACCGAAGTCCCAATCTGAATCAAATTCACAATCCGTGCTCCAAAGTTCCGATCTGAATCAAAAGATTTGTGAACCATCATTTCAGGGACTTTGGAGAACGGAGCATATCTGAATTGCTAAATGAATTGAAAAATGAAAAGCGCTAAATGAATTGGCGAACCCGCTCTGAAGTTCTGATCTTTGAATCAAAAGATTCACGAAACCTCCGAAGTTATTTCTAAATCAAATGATTCATGATCTGCACTCCTAAATCCCGATCTGAATCAAATGATTCACGATACAGTTCTGATCTAAATCAAATGATTAGCGAACCCGCTCCAAAGTTCCAATCTAAATCAAATTATTCACGAACCGCGGTCCGAAGTTCCGATCTGAATCAAAAGATATGTGAACCATTATTTCAGATCGGGACTTCGGAGCATGAATCGTTCAATTCGCGAAATGATTCGCGAACCTGCTCCAAAGTTCCGATCAATCAAATCAAATGATTCACGACACGCAAAGGTCTGATCTAAATCAAATGATTCGCAAACTTCAAAATCCCTATCTAAAAATTATTTGCGATTCGCACTCCGAAGTCCCGATCTGAATCAAATGATTCGCGATACGCGAAGAAGTCCCAATCTAAATCAAATGATTCGCTATCCGCAATCCATAGTCCTGATCTGAATCAAATAATTCGCAATAAGCAATCTGATTGGAGCGCTTCAAAGCTGTGAATCATTTTGTGGTGCAGGGTTTAAGTGAGAGTTTCGAAAAGCTAAAAATTCGAAAATGAAATGCTCTTTTGATCTGTGTTTTTTTTTTGTTGTTGTAGTGAATCGCTTAAACTGAATGAGCGAAGTCACAATCAATCGGAGCGGTTCCAGCATAAATGACTCACTCAATTGAATAAGTTTGTCTCTTCCTGGGCTTTTCGCGTCTTCAGTCACGTTTACACGACACAGTACCACTACAAGTGATGCAAAGTCCGATTCATTTCCGCGAACCGGTTCTTTTCGGAAAGAACTGCTTGATGACGTCAGGAACCGATTAATCGGCTTTTTGAACCGGTTCAATGAGCCGATCTGTCCGAATAGAACCGGTTCGCGGAAATGAATCAGACTTTGCATCACTACTGAACTGTGCTCATACGTTTGTTTCAATTCGGCTGCTACTCCACTCCACCCATGTATTTTAAATGTGCGTCATTGAAAGCGCGTGCGGTTTTCTAGGGTTAAGGCTAGAAGGGAGACAGCTGTGGCTATTGGGCATGCGCACATCAATATAGCGTAGGCTAATTTTTGTCACACACAGTAGTGCAACAATAATGATTATTTTCGCAATATTGTAATGGGTAGGTTTAGGGATGGGGTAGGTGTCGACGTTAATAAAACACAATCCAATTGGTAGAAAATTTTAAAATGTTAGAAAATGTAATTGTTAGTTTCCGGTCGGAGCTGTATCCCTTCTAGCCACTTTTCTACCGTAGGCTATTTACATTAACTTCTCAGGTTGGTGGATACTGGTAGGGACTAACGTTAGCGTCTCTACTAAATTCTACACCCTTAGATATTAAGAATTGTTCATTTATTGAAATTTAGACCTCAAGATCATCTTAGTAGTCTCTAACTTTCACTAATTTACAGTGCAAATAAATGAATGAATGATGAATAAATAAATAAATAAATGAAATATAATGAATAATTTTCTTAGAAATTTTGACTTTGTTAAATATAAAACCAAATAAAAATGTAAACCAAGATTAATTTATTTGAGATGCAAATCTGCATTAAGAATTATTTCCAGAGAATATATTTAGACCATGAAAAAAAAATTTTTGCTTTAAAAAAAAAATATATATATAATAACTTCATGTTTTCTTAAAAAAAAAAAACTCTAGGTGCCCATTTGAGTTTTGTTTTGCCAGTGCAAAATGTCCTGACTGACCTGCAACCTTGGTTTAATTATGAATATGCATGATCCTTGTGAAGCAAGCAGGTAGGTCTTTGTCATCTGATCAAAGCTGACAATCAGCAGCATGGATTCATATACAGACATAATGAAGTGTGACGTTTCTTTCTCTGTATATGCTGTGGACTGGAGCTCTGCGAAGAGTCAAACTACCTTTGCGTGACTTCCCTGGCTTTGCCATGCATACTGTAACCAAACCCAGCGTGAAAATGTTTATACTTTTGACCCTATTTGGAGTAGCCAGAACCCATCCCCCTCAAACCAAGACGGTGGATTTCATGGTGTTTATACTATGCATAAGCCAATTACATAGAGGGTTAAAGTTGATACAATGTTAAATTCTTACATGTGTGTGTCATACACTGAACAAAGGAAAGGTCAAAGCACCAAAATATTTATTTAAAATTTCATACAGGAAGAAATAGAAAGAAAGAAAGACAAGAAAGAACGAAATGTAGGCCTTCTATAAAGGAGCATCTTTGTTTTATACATCTTTCTATATTTCTATTTTATAGGCTACTTTGTGTTTGATATCTGTGTAGAAAATAGCCGCTGTTAAAAATGAATAAAACAAAGATTATTAGATTATGTTTTACAAAAAATACAATTTCAGTCTGTCTTAATATTTTAATGTGTAACATACTGTTTTCTCCACTTTCCTTGATACAGTATCAAACTAGGCTATTAAATCTTTTTTTAAAGAAAGAAAGAAAGAGTTTGAATGAGTTTATTATATGAATGAGTAGTAAAGGAGTCACGCGCTTCAGATCCGCCGCACATGATCTGAATTCCAGACGTGTCGCGAGCTCGCAGCTGATCATCAAATCACGTGACGCGCACACACACACACACACACACACACACACATTACGGAAGCGCTGCTGCAGTTCACAGTTTATGACAAACTGTTTGTTATTCTGTGATTTACAAACTGGACCAGGATTCGTGCGCAATGATACTCTTCTATTGTTGAAGTGAACCTTAAAATTGTAAGTTTGCTTAAATAAAACATCCGTAAAATTAATGTCCAATACATGTAATGTCCAATACAGTTTTTCACCGTATATAGTAGGGGAATTTACCGTTAACCATTTAACAGGATTTTACTGTAGCATTTTTACAGTCTTTTACCGTTAAATTCACGGTCATTTTTTACAGTGTAGGCTAGAAGGTGTAGTGCAAAGAGTTCTCGCTTAATCTTATTTATGGCTTTCTGTGAATTAGGCATCAGTTGGGTCTATGGTCGTGAGCATCAGTTTCATTCTGGAGGAACCGAGAGGCGTGTTGTGGGCTTTTGCTGCAGTTTAGATGCGACCACAGTATCGTCCTGGGTATTGTGTACTTGTTTGCATTGTATTATATTTTTGCATTGTATTATTTAGGAACAATTCCTACTGAAAAGATTATGGAATTACCTATATTAATTTTAAATTCTTTAAAGATTTGTTTTTAAGTCCTTTTGGGGTCTTACAGGAGCGGTTATCCCATTAGGATTCATGCTGGCCCTTTAATAACTAAAATACATATATTCTTGTGTATAATATAGGATTCCATTACAAATTATTAGGCTATTTTTAGGACTGGTAAAGAGTATACTGTATTATTATTATTATTTTATTTTTGACTGGGTGCGTTGAGAAGTTTATGAGACTGATGTTTAAATGAAGCCCTGATAGAATTATGCAAAGTGAAAGAAATTAACAGTATAACTAGGATGAACTCTTCTTCTAATAATTGCATTTGTGTTCAGGTAAAATGAAGTGTCTTCTGGTGGCCAATGAGAGCGCAGAGGTTCTGTTCTACTGGACTGACACCGAGTTCGAGCAGCGGATTCAGGAGCAGTATGGAGTTTCCCAGGAGGAAGGAGAAGGAGTGAGATCGATGTTCAAAATTAATGCTGTTTGACTTAAAGAAACATGAAACAGAGATATTTAAATATAGATAAATATTTAATATAATTATTATTTGATGATATATTATGATATGGTAATGATTATTTTATAATATATATATATATATAATTTATTTTTTAAATATGCATACATGCATGTAAATGTGGAATATTGAATGGTTATTAATATTATTTTTCATGTGTTCTCAGCTGCCTGCGTTTGAAGACAGCATTAACACTCTCTTCGCACCCATCATCATCTCCTGTAGCACCATGGTGGACCGACTCGGGGAAAATTACACCTCCTTCAGCACAGAAAACAATCATATTTATGTTCTGCAACAGGTAATCCACAGTAGAATGAAAGAGTCATCTGATCTAATAACATGCATGCATCCTGTTATGGACAGACAGCACTCATTCAATAAATCGCTTGTAAAATACTTACAAAATATTATAATATATAAGTAATGTTATAAAAATTATATTTGTTATATTGTGTGTGTATACAGACTGTTTTTACACTTTATAAAAAACAGTATTTACAAGTTATAATATATATAAACCATTTAATGAAATTTAACAATATAAAGGATTTATATTCTATAGATTGCCCCTTTTTAAGAAATTATATGTATTTTCAAACTCTTATACTATAACATTCCCCAACTTTTCAGATTATTCAAATCAATCTGACACCAACATGTTGATGTCATGCAGTTTGAGGAATGTCTGTACATTGCTGTGAATGGAGATGGAGATGAGACGGAAGAGGATTTGAAGAGAAAGATCTATGTGATGAAGAAACTCACAGAAATCATGTTTGGCATGGTGACGTTCAGCGGTCCCCTCTTGAGAAAAGAGTGAGAACTGCATTTTCAGTTCAAAACCAGATTTTAAAGTGCCCCTATTATGCCATTTTTACGGTTCCTAATATTGTTTTGGGAGTCTCCTACAATAGGATTACATGCATGCAAGGTCAAAAAACGCTTTTGTTTTCTCAAAATATGCATTTAATATCACCTCATTTTTCAGCGATTCTCAAACGATTTGTTCGAAGCGGTTCAAAGATTCAGTCTCGCAAGCATTTTGTGAATCCTGCGTTGAACTCCCCGAGATTAGAGAAGCAGTCATCAGTAGAATGACGTGTTTGTGGGCGGGGTCAAGTTGTTTGCGGCCGCCCAACGTAGAACATAGGCGCGCATTATGCAAATGTGTTTCCCCGTGACGTGTAGCCGTCACGGAAGTGGGATTAGAATTACTAACAACTCGTTTCAGCTGTTCAGAGTCGATTCTTTATTTTGGGAGACAATAACTTCATTTATCGTGCACTATCAGCTTTACAACTTTGCAGATCGTTTACATTCACATACAGCTACATTACACACTGCATGAAAGGCAATATTGGAAATGGCATAATAGGGGAACTTTAAGCCATTCTGAAGATTTTAGTGTATTAGTAGAACTAGTTTCATTGCATTTCACTTCATATTATTATTATTTTTTATTACACCAAAGACTGTTGTAATAGCCTTTGAACTGAAACCTAAGAAAACAAATAAAATTAAAAAATTAAAAAAAAATTAATGGACTTTTTATTTGTCAGATTGCGCCCTCAAGATACAGAGCAAAGGAACCGCTTGTGGAAGAAGCTAGGAAGCCTCTTAGAAACATACAGCAGTTTACGAGAGAACGACCAAAGCTTTTTAGTAGAGGTGTGTGCAAGTTAGTGCTGTGTTCGATACATCGATACGACGATGTATCGTCACAGAGATTTGACGATACGAGTATCGATACAGCTGGCCCTGTAGCGATATTGTGGCACGTGTGCAGCAGTGGACCGCGCTTAATTTGAATACAAGAACAACGTTTAAAATTGAGTAAAAAAATGGGAGGTTTCTAAAAAATAATGAATAGAGCATAATATATAGGCTATAACAAGGTTTAATCTGGCCGCAGAGGAACACAACTGGGTTGCCTGAAATAAAGAGACGTAATCCCTGAAACAGAGCTTCCCACTTGCGCAATACAGAAATATCTGCTAAATGTGCAATTTATCTTTGTCAACCTGGCAACCATGTGCACGCTCGGTCTCTTCACTGTGGATAAACCTCTGTATCGTGATACGTATCATATCGTGACTTTGCTGGTGATACACAGCCCTAGTGCAAGTGCTGTTTTATAATTAGTTGCATGCTAGTTTTAGATCATGTACGATAAGTTCTTTGCCTTTGTTCAGGCGGTGGAAAGGTTGATCCACCCGACCCTTTGTGAGCAGTGCATCGAGTTTCTGGAGCGTCGTCTGGTGCAGCAGATCAACAGCAACGTGGACAGAATGGGCGAGGAGGTGCTACACGCTTTCATACTGGTGCACACCAAACTGCTGGCCTTCTACTCCAGGTACAGCAAACGCAGACTGAGACCATGATGTTTTGACCACAACATCAGAAGGAAGTGACAATATTGTGCTACAGAGAACTTTGAAGTGATCTCCGATTTCTTACTTTTTGTGCAGTCGAAATGCGAGCAATCTATACCCCTCTGATCTCCTGGCTCTGATCATCCTGGTGCAGGATCTCTATCCCAGCAAAATCGACCTAGATGACACCTCGGAGGTTTGATATCTCTGTATAGTCACAGTTGTTGTTGTTTTTTCTTCATTAAGGTCTTAAATGTTTTCTGTATGCTTAGGAGTTAGAGTGCAGTTCAGTTCCTGAGGTATTCGACACACCTGAGCCCTCTCCTCCTGAACGGGAATCAGGTAACAAAAATGCATACACTTTGTATCTAATGCAATGACATTCAGATCAGTTTTCTGAAATACTGAAATGCTCTAACACTGATTGGTGTTATATAATTACAAGCTGCATGTGTGAATGTTTTTTATGTTTTTAATGCATAGTCCGACAAAGAGGTGGCTGTCCTCCTGTCTTCCAGTTTGTAGATCCTGACGTTCAGGTGAGCTATCTGTTTTTCCATCACTGTAATACGATCTGTTTATGTTCAACTGTTTGTAAGCCAGTATCTTCAAACTTTTTGTTCATCGAAGAATCCTGAAAAAAAGTAAAACAACCCTTTTCAAATAGTAATGACACAACGAAGAGTAAATGTTTATTGAGCACCAAATCAGCATATTAGAATGATTTCTTATAAAAAATCGGGGGGAAAAAGTAAAATATTTAGTTATTCTGAGTGGTGCTTAGATTATTTTTCCATAAAATAGTACTTTCACAAAAATCTAAAATATTTTATAATCTAAAAATAATCTAAAAAAAAATCTTTAATCTATAGAATTGATTAAAATGAAAGAAATATATGAACATTGTTTTAATATATATAATATTTATACACACACACACTTATATAGCCTAATACAATAAATTTGTTTAAATATATAAAACATTTAATAAACATTAACCATATCAAATATGATAAGGTAGCACAACATTTTTCAGCTAATAATAATAATAATAAGAAGAAATGTTTCTTGATCAGCAAATCAGCATATTAGAATGATTTCTGAAGGATCCTGTGGCACTGAAAATTGGAGCAATTATGCTGAAAATTCAGCTTTGCATCACAGGAATAAATTACATTTTAAAATATATTCAAACCAAACACTTTAAATTATAATAAATAATATATAAATAAATAAAATAATATTTAAAATAAATAAAAAATATATATATTTTACAATGTTCCTGTTTTGGACTGTATTTTTGATCAAATAAATGAAGCAATAAATCAATAACATAAATCGTACTCGTATTCAAGCTTTGGAACGATAGTGTATGATGTGTATTTATAGAAGAGTTTCTCACATATCTAAGGTCTTATGATTTTAGATGGCCGAGGACAGTCTGCAAACTCTTGAAGCTCCAACTCCTGACCCTTCAGCTCCATGCAGAGTATTCCTGGAAGCCAAAGAGTTTCCCACGATGCCTCACTCCATGTATTGCCTACCTCTCTGGCCGGGAATAACTCTAGTGCTGCTTACCAAGGTGACAGTCTTTCATTATTAGACCTCTAAAGCAAAGACTATTTGCACGGTATCTTCTATGTCATATATTTTTTTGAAGAGCACATTTGTACAGACACTGTTTTTGCTTCTATTGAAGCACAAGATGCTCTTTGGATCATTTTCAAATCATGCTGACTAACATGATCGTGTAGGTTTTACATAAATGTATGGAGTTGCTAGCTCAATTTTCCATTTTATTTACACATGCATATCAACAGATTCCCAACAGTCATGTGGCAGCATCTGTATGCTACTTCCTGGAAGCTTTCGTGAAGTTAGAGAAGAGGTTATGTGAGGGGCATGAAGGGGCTGCGGCCATGCGGGGTCAGCCCTCTGTCCAGGAGCAGCGGAGCAGACTGGAGAAGTTCATCAAAACCTGGGCCAGCATGGACATTCAGGTTAGTGGAATCAATTCCACAGAACTTCATCAGATCCACTTTACACTGATAGAATTAGAGATTTAAAGTTTAATAGTTTTTCTTTATATTTCAATTCTGAATAATTCTATTTATTTAGCGCTTTTGAAAAAGCATGTTAGGATCAATAATTGATTCTAACAGGTTTTTTATAAAAAAATAAAATAAAAAAATACTGAACAAAAATTTGTTTAAAAACTTTTTTTTTTGTAAATGTTAATTTTTAATCCTTTTTTTTTGTTTTTGTTTAAAAAAACATGTATTAAAATGAAAAGGTTATTTTACTATGCTCCAGATAGTTTTAATTATATAAATTAATAATAAAAAAAACTAAGTTATTATAAAAATGCCGAATCGATTTTCTTTTTTCTAGTTACACTTCTGTTCAAAAGTTTGGGGTCGGTAAGATTTTTTTTTTCAATTTTATTCGAAAAAAAATACAGAGGTATTGTGAAATATTATTACAATTTAAATAACAATTTTCTATTGTAATATATTTTAAACTGTAATTTATTCCTATGAAGGCAAAGCTGAATTTTCAGCATCATTACTCCAGTCTTCAGTGTCACGTGATCCTTCAGAAATCATTCTAATATGCTGATTTGATGCCCAAGAAGCATTTCTTACTATTATCATGTTTAAAACAGTTATGCTTCTTAATATCTTTGTGGAAACCGGGACACATTTTTTGTCAGGATTTTTTGGTAAATATAAAGTTCAAAGAACATCATTTATTTGTATTTGAAATCTTTTTTAACATTTTTTGTATTTTCTGTCACTTTTGGTCAATTTAATGCATTCTTGATGAATAAAAGTATTATTTAGTATTAAAATAAAGAATAAAACTTTACTTGCCCCAAACTTTTTTTTTGTCCTACTAGAGACATTTGCACACTAAAATTTTAATTTAAATCCATTTAAATTTATACATTTCAAGAACTGGTACCTGACATACCAATAAAATAAAAGCAAGTCATCCCCAGCATCCTCCATAAATTAAGACCTGTTAGAAAAGTTTCGGAAATGTATTGGTCAGAAATGGTAGGAACCCTGTAGCTATAATATATATACATATATAATCTTTTTTTGAAAACTCGACTCTTCATTTATATATTCAGACCTCCCAACTTCAAAATGCGTGGACAGACTTTAAGAACAAAGCGTTTAGCAGATCAGGATCTGGATTCACAAGAGAGTAAGTGCTGTTCTCTTTATTAATAAACTACAAAACTCATTGCAGGCTAAATTCACTCATTTGATCTTGGATGAAGCCAAAAGTGACTTAACATTTTATTTGTTGTGTTGCAGTTTGCTGCCCTCTTGTCGAAACATGAAGACTCAGTTGTGTGGAGTGTACAGGCAGTTTTTTGCAGCTGAGTGCATGGGCAGCAGTCAGCGATTGGCTCCTCATCTGCAAGAACGAGCTCTGAGCATGGTCCAGTATGTCTGAACATGCACTTCAATAGTACTGAAGGATATTTATTTTAATGTGCCTTAACATTAAATCACGTTTCTCTTACATTTGTTGCAGAGAGAAGTTAATGGACTGGAAGGATTTTCTGCTGGTGAAAAGCAAAAGAAATATCACAATGGTATCATATCCTTTTTTCTACCATGAGTATTTTGGTTGCCTATCCTCCCTTCGATCTATTTAAATGGGTTGCATTCACACTTCAGTCTTGAATCATTCCACTGCTCCGGGTGTGTGTTCACGGTGTGTGTGTGTTCACTGCTGTGTGTGTGCACTTTGGATGGGCTAAATGCAGAGCACTAATTCCTAGTATGGGTCAGCATACTTGGCCACATGTCACTTCACTTCACTTTTGTCATGTGACATTGTTCGAATCTTTAACCATGGTCTCACATACCTGGAAGAGTTTCCAGGTCTCATCCACTTTATCTACGTGGATCGTTCAAATGGTCAGATGATTGCACCCTCCCTAAATGTGACCAATCGCACTGTCTCTGAGCTCGGAAAGGGGCCTCTAGCTGACTTCATAAAGAACAAGGTGTTTTTGTGCTTATAGCCCATCCCCATCATGCAATACACTGTATATTGTAAAGAAATCAGCATATTAGAACGATTTTTGAAGGATCATGTGACCCTGAAGACTGGAGTAATGATGCTGAAAATTCAGCTTTGTGTTGCAGGAATAAATTACATTTTAAAATATCTTAAAATGGAAAATGGTTCATTGTAAATTGCAATAATATTTTGAAATATTACAGTTTTTACTGTATTTTTAATCAAATAATTGCAGTCTCTTTTTGAACATTTAATTAATTCACCATGAATTTCGTTAGTTACTGATTCTATACCATTCTCATCATGAATCTGCACAGATTTGGAGTCTTGTTGCAACAGCACAGCGGTACCTGCAAAAGGGTTACGCCACCGTGACGCTCCGGGATGGAGATTATTTCTACTGTTACTTCCTGTGGTTTGAAAATGAAACGGTAAATGGCCGCTTGCGTCATTTTTACAGTTACTATATATAATGAAAATGATATGGTCGGTGTTGATGAGGTTTAAATGTTTTGACAGGGTTACAAACTGGAAGTGATAGACATACCCAGCTCCCCAGATGATGCCGCTCCAGTAGGAATGCTCACCTGTGATTATTACAGGTATGACAAAGGATAATGAAGAATTCACATAGAAATGATTTTCACTCAGAAATGACTAGTAAATTACACAAAAAAGCAATGGCAAGTAGCACATTGAGTAAAATGTTACATTTTGAAGTGGAAAGACTAAAATAATATTTTCTTGTAAAACATGCTCAAATAATTTTTATAACTTCAAAAAAAAAAGAAAAAAGTTTTTACAGTGCAGGTGATGGGAACCCTAACTCTTATTTCTAAACCTACTACATGACACCAGCTGAACTTTCTTTAATTAATGTATTAATTCATGTATTTTATGTCTATTTTGATTGTGTGATAGGAGGCTGCTGCGGTATTACAGCAAAAAACATCAGAATGAGGTGGTGAAGTGTTATGAACTGTTTACTGTGCATCTGGGTGTGATCCCCAATGAATATATTCTTCAGCACTGCAGTCAGCTGGCCCGTAAGCTGTGGGAGCCCACCCATATCCCGCTCCTGTGACCAACACGGCCCTCAAAGGATTATGGTCCATGCAGCCGCGTTCACTTTATTCATGATCTGTAACCTACGTGGAGAGTTTTCTAAACTTTCTGCACAAGCACTTCTTATTTCAGTTAAGGTAATTGCAGAAAATAATGTGTCAGTAAACCAAACACTGCACTTCTTGTACTTACAATTAATGGATTATTTTTGTGAAACCAGGACCAAATAATATAGGACAGCACTCCTTTTAAAGATGTTATTACCCAGATTGTATCAGATATCTGGCTTAGCAACGTTAGTTAGCAGATTTACAAAACTGTAAATCACAGTCTTTCATAATTATTAATGACTCAGTTTTTAGTGTGACCACAAATTTTGTAAATAAATTGCCAAAAAAAAAAAAAAAAAGAATAAAGAAATAAAGTTAAAGCTGAAATGTACAATCTGTCTTAAGCATTCTTAAAGCTTGTAGTTTTGTGTATTTTTGCGACTTTGGTGCCCCCTGCAGTTAAGTGAGTGGAATTAACTGTCGTAATTACAGTGAAAAGATGTGCACGTGTTTTTTTGTTTGTTTTTGGTGCCATAAAGCAATCCGCCCTTTCGCAGAATTTCGTACCCGCTCAACAAACAAAGGAGCATAGGAATAATAATAATAATAAAACCTCCTCATTAGAAGTCAGTGTACCATCAGAATGATTTTGAAACTGATATTTCAAAGTAAAAAAATAAAAATAAATTACGTACACTTGATTCAACGAAAGAATTGTTATTTATTTATGCAGCAGTCAAAAAATATCGATTTAATTGCGATTTTTCTCCTTCCAGTATGTCAGCACTTTTTTTAGCTGTAATTTTTGATCATGAATTTTGTTACAGAAAGAGAACAATTTTTTTGTATTTAAATTTTAGTTTGGAGATTAACTAAATATATTGATAATGAAAGTGCATTTGTTTATTTTACCCTCTGCATTTTTTTTTTAAATATGTGATATTTCACAGAACTGATTGTTATTACTAACAGGAATATGTCATTTATATTTTGCTATAATATTGCTTGTATTTATACATAATGTTCTGATAAAAAGTTTTTACACACTATGTAATCATTTTTCCAAGAAAAATAAATAGTAAATAATAATTTATTAGGATAAAATCTTTTGTCATCCTTTATTAAGCTGTATCATAGCTTTGGTCATTTTCACTTGTTTTAAATGCCTTTGTATATTACTGTATGTTACTGGGTATTGTCTATGCTGTATTTTACCCAAAAATTGCAGTTTTGAAAAATTTTGAAATTATACATAGAAATGATGAGACTGATCCTATTGTCTTGTGACATTGAAAGTTGCCTGCTTAAGTCCAGGTCTCTGGACTGTTTTCTGCTGTTTGTCATCTCTCTTAACTTTTAGAAACATGGAAAGTTTCTGCAGTCATCACAGTGCGCCAGTGAGGTCTCGCACCGCTCCAGATTTGACCAGCTCCCGCAGTAAAATGGTCTCAGCGCTGACATCGTGAACCACCTGTGTGTTCATGGCATCCATGCGGATAGAGCCATAATAATGCAGCAGAGCTCCAGGGTGCTGCAGGTCGTATCCAAATCCAGCTAAACTCACCTCATCACACACCTGCAGGGCCAGAACTGCTGCCGTTATACCCAGCGTCGGCACCATCTAACAAACAAAACATAAAACTGACTTCAACTGACAATGCTCTCAGCAGAAGATTTAGAAGAAGTCTAAGGAAGCATGCAAGTAGTGCTGTCAAATGATTAATTGCGATTAATCGCATCCAAAGTAAAAGTTTTTGTTTACATAATATATGTATGTTTGCTGTATAATGTATATTTATTATGTATATATAAATACACACATGCATGTATATATTTCAGAAAAATGTGTTGTTTATATATTTATAATATAAATTATATGAATATAAATATAGACGTAAATATTTTCAAAATATATACTGTGTGTGTGTATTTATATATATATATATATACATATACACAGAACACACATGCAAACAAAAACTTATTTTGTATGCGATTAATCGCGATTAATCGTTTGACAGCACTACATGCAAGGAAACATTAATCAAAAGTAAAGACAGGAAAGAGTTTATAATATTGCAAAATATATCTGTTTCAAATAAATGCTGTTCTTTTGAACTTTCTACTTAGCAAAGAATCCTGGAAAATGTATTACAGTTTCTTTAGGAATGTTAAGCAACAGTTTCTGTCAATTCAACTGTGCATCACAGGAGTAAGTTACATTTTAAAATGTGTTGAACTAGAAAACAGTTCAATCATAATTATATTTCAAAAATAACAGTTTTCACTGTATATTGATCAAATAAATGCTGCCTTGCACATAAGAGGATCATCTGACCTCAGACATTTGAATGGTAGTGTGTATATATGTTTTAGAAGAAACATTATCTATTTAGTAACCTTTTGAATTCAAAGAAGGCTATAGTTTGAATTTGCACATTTGAAAAGTCATCTCAGTTCTGACCTTTTTCTGTTGCTCTGCATAGGTTTGCAGCACCTGTCCAGTCCTGTACATGATTTCAGGATTTAGGATGCGGATATTTTCTGGTTGAAGAGGTATCGAGTCTATTACATTCTTCCAGAACCACAATTTAGACCACCAACTCTACAGACAGAACATTTTAGAAATTAAAAAATTGTACTTTTTAAAATTGTTGGCCATTTGTGTTAACTTTAAGGTAATCTATATACTAGTGCACTCCCAAAAGATGACAAAAGCATTTCAACTTTACAGTCCCTCTGTTTCACGAACACAGACCACAACATTTTTTCATTCGTTTTTTGTCCAACAAAATACTCTCTAGAATGAGAATATCCTTCCCAAAATCCTTCTGCGTTACTCACCAAAGGCTCTTTGGTTACTACAGAGATGAGCCATGCTAAATCTAAACTCTTGAATGCCACCAAAGCCACCACTTCAGTACTCTCATATTCTTGTGGCTGAGAAGGAGCCCCTTCTGGATAAATGAGCCGAATGGTAGTTCTAGATCCAGCATCTTTTTCATATCCAAATACTGGAGCATTGTTCACTCTGTAGGTATGAAGAGTAAAATATTCATATCTATATAACTAGTTTGAGTGAGTTAATATGCATAATTCCTTGCATATTAGAATGATTTCTGAATGATCATGTGACACTGAAGACTTGTAAAAAAAAAAATTCACAATATTATTGTTTTACTGTATTTTTGACACCCATATATGTTTGTTAATCAACTAACCTGATGATAATGTTGTACTGGTCTATATGAGGTCCAAGATTTTTGCCGTGTAAAATGCCACCGCTTCCAACCACCACACATCTCCTGCAGGTCTCTGGGCCAGTGGGTACAGCAGTATTAGGCAGGGCTTTCAGGGCCTGAGCCAGCATCTCCTCACTGCCCTGCAGACCCAGAGGAGGAGGCAGTGCCCAGTCTCCTGTGCCGTTCTCCAGGAACACGGGAATCTTCAGCAGCCCAGCAGGTATAGACAGCGTCCTCACCCTCTCCACACTCCAGCCGCTGCGGCAGGACTGAGACAGCAGAGCCGCTGAATGGTTCAGCAGAGCCTGAGGTGTGTACAAATGAGACAGGTTTAGACATCTGACAACATGTGTCTTTATAATTGAGGAGTATTATTATTATTATTATGAGTAAGTTAATATGAATTGTTTTTGTTGACACATTTCATGATTTATTTACATATACACTACTTTAAAAGTTTTTAAGAGGCCAAGATTAAAAAAAGCTTTTATGTGTATTTGTATTTCAAAATGTGTATTTCAAGTAAATGCTGTTCTTTTGAACTTTCTATTCATCAAAGAATTCATCAAAAATATATGTATTATGGTTTACAAATAAATTAAGCAGCACAACATTGATCATATTAATAAATGTTTCTTGCACAGCAAATCAGCATATTAGAATGATTTTTTGAAGGATCGTGTGACACTGAAAACTGGAGCAATGGCTGCTGAAAATTCAGCTTTGCCATCACAGAATTAGAAATGTTCAGAAAATGACTTTAACTGAAACTTATTTTAATATATTTTATAATTTCACAGTCTTACTGTTTTTGCTTTATTTTGAAATATGAAATAAATACAACATTGGTGAGCATTTTTCTTTCAAAACCATTTGTATATTATTGCCCCCAAACTTATGAACAGTAATGTATATTTTTTTATGAAAAAAAATCATAATTTATATGTTTATTTATTGTGTAATTTAATGAAGTTATTTATTACAATACTATAAATCCTCTATAGCCCTATAGTGTTTTAGTTAATAATAAATTAATTAACATGTTTACAATATTAAGAGCTTTATTTATTTATTTATTTACTGGTCTATATGAGGTCCAAGATTTTTGCCGTGTAAAATGCCACCGCTTCCAACCACCACACATCTCCTGCAGGTCTCTGGGCCAGTGGGTACAGCAGTATTAGGCAGGGCTTTCAGGGCCTGAGCCAGCATCTCCTCACTGCCCTGCAGACCCAGAGGAGGAGGCAGTGCCCAGTCTCCTGTGCCGTTCTCCAGGAACACGGGAATCTTCAGCAGCCCAGCAGGTATAGACAGCGTCCTCACCCTCTCCACACTCCAGCCGCTGCGGCAGGACTGAGACAGCAGAGCCGCTGAATGGTTCAGCAGAGCCTGAGGTGTGTACAAATGAGACGGGTTTACAACATGCGTCTTTTAAAGTGAGTATCATTATTATAAGTCATTTAATATGAATTGTTCCATGATTTATTTACACATACACTACTGTTTAAAAGTGTTTAAGAAGCTAAGATTAAAAAAAGCTTTTATTTAGCAAGCATAAGACTTTTATAATGTTACAAAAAATGTGTATTTCAATTAAATGCTGCTCTTTTGAGCTTTCTATTCAACATAGAATTAATCAAAAATGTATGTATTATGGTTTACACAAATATATTAAGCTGCACAACATTGATAATGATAAGAAATATTTCTTGAGCGAATCAGCATCTAAAAGAATGATTTCTGAAGGATCATGTGACACTGAAGCCTGGAGTAATGGGAAATTCAGCTTTGCCATCATAGAAAATGACATATTAAAGGGGTCTTATTATGCTTTTCACTTTTTCAACTTTAGTTAGTCTGTAATGTTGCTGTTTGAGTATAAAAAAGATGCCAATCACAACACACACTGTCCCAGCTAACCAATCACAGCACATTTCGTATTTCAGAAGGCGGGCTTTCATTTGATACAGGAACTATTCGAGCCGTTCATGCCAGACTGGGGAGGTGTGTGTTGTAATAATGTAAAATATATGAAAAATAATGTGTTTTTCGAACAACCTAGTATGAGAGCCTGTTCTAGTACACCCCCAAAACAAAACCAAGACTTTGTAAAAGAGCATAATAGGACCCCTTTAAAATAACTGACTTATTTCAATATATTTAATAATTTCACAGTATTACTGTTTTTGCTTTATTTTTAATTAAATAAACACAGTCTTGGAGTATATATATATTCATTCATTCATCTATTTTTTAGGGGTAATAATATATGTAAACACAAATTATCTGAAAAAAAAAAAAATCTTAATAACTGCACATAGGCTAGGTAAACTTTATTGACTTTACTTGTTTACTACTAAAGATCACTTTTAGTTCAAACTTGATTTTCCTGCCCTGCCTCAAGTATTTGTTAGCCAGATATTTGTGTTTTAAAGATGTTTTGAGGCCTAAAAAGTTTGAAAGAGTTAACTTGGACACAGTTAAATTGAATCAGTGTTGGTGAAGCTTTATATAATTAATCTCACTAAATTAATGTATGGGCATATATCAGACGCACACATACTGTATACAGCTCAGTTTACAAATCATCTCAATTCTGCAATAAAGTCAAAGTGGAATATCAAGTCGCCTTGATCATAATAAGTAAGGTAACACGTTCTTCAAACTGACTCAATTCTTCAGTTTCATGTGATCAAGCAGTGAATGACAGTACCAGAGTTTCAGCAGAAGTGTCATTAGTCCAGGTGGGCTCCGGGGTTGGCAGATACGCAGGAACCAGAATGGCCGAATAACAGCTCAACAACAGAGCAATGCTTAAAATGAAGTTGTTCCTCCTGAAATCATAAAACAGCAGTCTCATGAAGCTTACACTCTTACAGTGTTTCAGAAGCTCTGTGCTTTATCGGTTTTAAAGGAATGCGTCTGTACAGGTCATGAAATCTCCAGTGCAGCATGTGAATGGCAAGCATGTTTCATGTGTCACAGTGCTTATCTCGGACAAACCCACCGGCTAAGGAAGAATTCTCTGGACTCTGCCCTGCTGTGTTGGGTGGTTGGGCTCTCCAAGCTGCTGGCTTCCGGTAACAGAGGAACGCTGTCTTCGTCATTATCATTAACACTCAAGTGTTTCAGAGTCACCATGTTTTCAAACCAATTCCCAACTACACCTGTCAGTTATGAAATATGAATTGAGGAGTCATTGTTTGTTCTGTAGAGTCAACATTCGACAACCTTCTTCAATGTTCTTCATTCACAGCACATTTAATCTGAATGCTTTATGCCTTTATCTATGATTTGTGTTGCTTCTTACCTCTTATTTCAGCTGCTGTCTTCTTTTCCCAGGTGTAGAGATAGAAACATGTCTGTGTTGTATTGAAAATGAGCTGCGCTTTTGTCCCTTTCATTCACTGCCGTGTTTTGTCTCGTTCTGATCCCTCCTCACAGTTAATCATTTATCCGTCTCAGAGGCTTCTCTTTGTATACCACAGTACTTTAACTAGTCTACTGTTCAAACAACCACACAATTCCGTTTATGATTATGCTTGATTCCTAAAAGCCATGTTTCAAAGGTCCTTTATATCCTTTATACAGCTATTGCTCAGAGCAAAAAATATATACATAAATGAAATAGTAAAAATCATGACTAACCATAACTAAAATTTATTGACTTTACTAATTGGCTACTAAGGAAAAATTCTCAGACTTAAGATATAACTTAAGTGCTCTATCTCAGGTATTCTAAGTTTTTTTTTTTATGTTTTGAAGTGTTTGAACTAATATTGTGATGTAAAATATTACAATTTAAAATAACTTTTTATTTCTATATATTTTGAAATCTAATTTATTCCTGTGATGCAATGTTGATTCTTCAGCATCATTGCTCCTGTCTTCAGTGTCACATGACCATTCAGAAATCATTTTAATATGCTGATTTGCTGCTCAAGAAAGTGTTGAAAACAGTTCAATTTTCAGCAATTTTTTGTGTAAACTGTGATCAGTTTTAAGGATTCTTCAATGAATGGGAATTTCAAAAGAACTGCTTGATCTGAAAGAGAAATCTTTGTAAAAATGTAAAAGTCTTTACTTCCATTTTTAAACGATTTAATGCATCCATGATGATATTTTTAAAGGATATATATATATATAACGAAATAGAGGGAAATCTTTATTCATCTGGCATGAAAATAATCAGATCTCAGTTGCTGAACAGATCCATTTTCACTTTCAAAACTTACCGAGTAAAACTATAGTTTATATTACTCAGTAAAACACAAATAGCAGCACTTTTAAACCATTATTGCTATATTTTAATATTTTAGAAAAAGACAAAAGATGCATCAAACTTGGTTTAATTGGTTATTATGTAGTCTTAGCTAAATCTTTCTAAAAATCTATTTCTAAAAATCTTTTCTGTAAATCTATTACAAAGCAATCAAACAAAACACTGCTACTGCTTAAAAAGTAGTACATTATTAAAAAATACATTGTTTTTAAAACAGTTAAGTTTTAAAACTGTAAACTTAGTAGAATTGTTACTTTTAGTTAGTTTTAAACAAATATTTGAATAGATGTCATCCGTTTCAGTAATTTCCCTATAAAAAAATGCATTTAAAAAAGTTTAAATTAAAAAAAAAAGAATGCACTTAGCATTTAATTGACTAGTCAACTGAAAGGCTTGACAACATGACTTTATTATAAAACCAAACCAAACAATTAGGAGTAGGCTATTTACTCTTGTCACATGTTCCACATGATTAATTGCTGTTGCTCAGTGCTTGGTACAGTTTGTTTTGGTTTGTTTTATTTGTCAAATGATGATTTCATTTAAATGTCAGCTTGATCTCACCTTCACAACCACGTGCTTCTGTTCTTCCTTCCGTCCTTCTCTCAAACACTTCATCATAATCAGACATTAGTGTGCATTCTTGCCCACATACACCTAACAGAATGTTCCTGAATGCCGTTCAGCGATGGGACATTGTGTGTTAACAGGCGTTCTTTGAAACTAGAAGGCATTTATGAGGTATCACTTGACATTAATGAAAGACTTATAAATACCATAATCTCCAAAACAGGGTATTTATTGGGCTGTGATTCTTGTAAAAATGGACTCCCATTGTGTGGCAGAGGGCAGGCCTGTCGAGGTGGACGGCACCGGCTTGAACGGTGAGCTCATGGTCGCGTGTTTGTGTGCGATCCAGCTCCTGTCCACAGCTGTCACACAGGGCCTGACGTGGCTTTACATTCCTGCTGTGAGCTATAAGACCGGTTCAGATCTCAGTCTGGCAGGTCTGCTGTTATTTGTGAAAGTTTGCGACTTGCAAATACTCTGGGTTAACTTCTTTATATATTTTATTTTGTCATAATGGACGAGAACATCCTGTGGGCGACGGCTGTGGTTGATAGAAGAGCGGCCTTTCCGTTCCAAACCTTTCCGAAAAACCTTCTGTGGAATGTAACCATATATGTGACCCTGGACCACAAAACCAGTCATAAGGGTCAATTTCTCGAAATTGAGATTTACACATCATCTGAAAGCTGAATACATATGCTTTCCATTGATGTATGGTTTGTTAGGACAGGACAATATTTGGCCGAGATACAACTATTTGAAAATCTGGAATCTGAGGG